GATGACATACTAATCTTTAGCAAGTCGATGGAGGAGCACATGAGACACCTTGAGGAAGTGTTGCACATCCTCAAGGATGCGCAGCTCCATCTCAACTTGGAGAAATCTGAGTTTGGGAGGGACAGCGTCATCTACCTTGGACATCGGTTGTCTACTGCAGGCCTAGAGCCCGAGGCAACCAAATTTGAGGTCATCCGCAAATGGCCTCAACCGGCAAATGTCCGTGAGTTGCATTCTTTTCTTGGTTTTGCATCATACTACCGTAAGTTTGTACCCAAATTCTCTATCATTGCCCGACCATTGTCCAGATTGACCAGCAAGAATGTGTCCTACACATGGGATGGGGAATACACAATAGCCTTCCAAGCATTGAAGGAGGCTTTGGCGAGTCATCCAGTGCTCCGCATTGCAGATCCCAAACGGTGCAGATCCCAAACTTACATTCGCATTGCGGATGCTTTGTCCCGCCACCCTAAGTACATAACTTGTTTTGTGGGTTCCTACGATCTCCGTAAGAATTTGAAGGAGGAACTCGTAGAGTATATTGCCAAGGACCCGGAACTCGGTCCCATCCTTGAGAAGATCCAGGCTGACCCTAACAGCCAGCCTGATTTCCATGAATGTAAAGGTTTACTCTTCCGATGTTAAAGGTTTTTACAATCGCGTTGTGGATGCTTTGTTTTGCCACCCTAAGTACATGACTTGTCTTGTGGGTTCCTACTATCTCCGTAAGAATTTGAAGGAGGAACTCATAGAGTATACTGCCAAGGACCCGAAACTCAGTCCCATCCTTGATCAGATCCAGGTTGACCCTAGCAGCCAGCCTGATTTCCATGAATGTAAAGGTTTACTCTTCCGATGTTACGGGAAGTACGGCCGCTTGTGCATGCCCAATCATGAGCCTATTCGTACTCAGTTCTTGGACTTGGCTCATGGCCGGAGTGGACACTTCGGTTTTGAAAAGACATACGGAAGTCTATTGCAAAATTTTGTATGGCCTGGGATGAAAGAAATGGCACGAAAGTTTTTGGCTGAGTGTGAAGTTTGTCAACGCATCAAACCGTCTCGGCAAAAGCCCCATGGGCTGCAACATCCTCTTCCTATTCCTGATGGCCCGGGTGAGTCTCTTTCCATCGACTTCACGGACATGAGAAAGAAGAGCAGGAACGGATACTCACAAGTAATGGTGATCATTGGCCGCTTTTCACGCCCCAACTTACCTTGTGATCACCTCACGCCCCAACTTACCTTGTAATCACCTCACGCCCCAACTTACCTTCTAAATTTGATTCCATTACCACCTCACGCCCCAACTTACCTTGTGATCAAGGAGTTTCACAAAAGGTACATTCTTCAGTATGGACCCCCAAAAAACTCTTGTGAGTGACCGGGACACTAGGTTCATAAGTGCAGATTGGAAGGACTTCACCTCCCAGATCTACGACATCAAACTCAAGATGACGTCTGGCCGACATCCCGAAGCCAATGGACTGGCCGAGGGGTCAACCAGACTGTTATCCAACTTCTCCGAGCTCTAATTGTGCCTGATCAGAACTCTTGGGATGAGGAATTGCCGATTGTGCAGGAACTGTACAACTCCATACACTCCTCCACAGGGATGACACCTGATTGGCTGCACCTCGGATGGCAAATTCGCAATCCCCTATCCTATTTGTTTCATGATCCACCACCTGGCCTAACACCTGGCCAGCCAGGCTACAACGCTAAGTTTGATCGCTTGCTCAAAGTGGTTGTCGCAGTTATGGAAAGGCGATGTAGTGCCATGATTAAGCATGCTAACAAAAAGCGCCAGCCTGTACCTTTCACAGTGGGAAGTTATGTCTGGGTCAAAATGTCTGAGTTTTTTGAAGAAGAAGGCGTATCACGAATTATGGTCCGTGGAAGGTGTTGAACCAAGTAGGGAATGATTCATTTGGTCCTTCTTACACGATCGACGTGCCTCCTCATCTGCACACGTACCCAGTCTTTCACGCGTCAAAGTTATTCCCGTACGAATCACCGAAAACTTTTTCGTATCGAGAATCCATGATTCCTCGCGCAATCAAGGGTGGTCACGAGGTTGATAGAATTGTCGAGCACGATGGAAAAGGGAGAAACAGACAATATGCGGTTCATTTCCTATACCACCCATTGAATGACTTTTACTGGATTGCTAAGAAATATTTGTTGCAGAGTGCCCCGCGAGTCGTCAACGCATATGAACGACTGATTAGCTCCGAACAGCAACCTAGATTCACTGCTACCCTTACTCCTACGGAACATACGCGATCTCTCTTTGCCATTTACGCCTATGATGCATTATGCAGGGACTCTGATTGAGTTACTCGCTTGAAGGGACCTCGCTCTTGAGGGGGGGGTAGTGTAATGACCGGCCATAACACAAACTCAGAACACTGCTGATTTCTGGAGTTTTGCCGATGGAATGGATGCCTTGCTGAGATTCCCACATTCTGCCGAGTTTTCTAAGTCTGTGTGTGTGCGTGCTTGTGACCTGTGTGCGTGTCTGAGTGCTTGTCGGTATGAGTGTGTGTGTGCGTGCTTGTGACCTGCGTGCCAGTTTGAGTCCTTATCGGTATGAGTGTGTGTGTGACCCGCAAGGGTACTCGCTTGTTTGACAGGCCCGTACGGCCGGTACTTACCTATGGTCGTGGCATTAAGGGTTGCAGCAGGGAAAACACTCAAGTAGCGGAGCCAGGGGCCCGCGGTGCTTAGGGCAGCGGAAAAACACTCAAGTAGCAGGTAGGCCGGTACCGCACCCAGTAGCAGTAGATGTGCCGGGTACTCGAGGTCGAGCAGAAGAAGACAAAGTTGGCATTTTTAGAGGCCCAGTAGTGGTAGGCTAGGTCTAGGCCGGTACCAGTCCATCCAGTCTGAGTCTAGAGCCTGTACGGGCAATATCAGAGTCTGCAATGATGTTTCCCTCCGAAAGGGTGGAGGTACCGGTTGCTTGGGAGGCCGAGCGGCCTGGAAGTCACCGCCCAGGAGGAAAAGTAGGCTGCTATATCAAGGGGCGGAGGGAAGAGCCCGGCCTCATTCTTCAGTGTGCAAGTTTGGCGACACGCTGCAGGAGCGCTGGCTGGAGTAGCGCTGGGTACTACAGCGCTGCTGGGAGGAAGAAGCCGGGAGCTTCCACCTTGGCTATGGTGGAGCTCTACCGGTAGGAGGAGGAGGGAGAAGGGGACCAAGGAGGAGAGTGGCGAGGTACTTACCTGGCTATGGTGGACACCATCTTCATCACCTTGTTAGGCGCTGCATCTGGAAGGCCCCTGTTGGGGTAGTGCCGCACCAAGGAAGCTCCGGGCAGAGACAGGCATGGCGGCCTAGTGAGCAGCGGCATAGCTGCTTTGCGTTGTCCTTTGCACAGGGAGGCAGTGACATAGTTGCTTTGGGTTGTCCTTTGGACAGGAGGGTAGAGCCCTCGGTGCTCCGCCATAGCCTCGGCCTGYATGTAGAGGGAGAGGAAGGGTGGCCATGGCTATGGTGGACCTCATGTTGTGCCTGCAGTAGAAGCAGGATTCGGACATTGTTTCTGGTTCAGCCATTCAACATTATTATTGTTATTTCTTGTTTGAATAAGAGGGGAGGAGATAAAGAGGAGGAGATTGGTTGGCGAAGACGAAGATTCTTGTCATTGGTCTATGCTGGAGTACATTATCTTCTTCTTCTTTCTTACTTCTTCTTCTGTCCCTCTCTCTCCTCTCAAGTTCATTCATTTATTTTTGTAATTGGACGGCATTGTACTTTCTGATGTATGTATACTTCGAAATTGGCCAGGATCGTAACGCATCATTCTTTCAAATTCTTTCAAATCACCTTCACTACATACCTACCACTACTCCTCAGGATTATACAGGGGACCCCTGCGAATTTAGCTTTGTTGTCTCCCTCCATCCATCAGAGGGGATGCATGTTGCCTCCCGCCCCAACCATGGTGGTCAACGATGGGGTGGGGCCCCCAGCGGAAGTCCGGCTAACGCAAAGACCGAGCACTTTGTCAGTAGCTGCACCTCCCTTTTTCATCGTCCCCCACCCCCAACGGGATAACAGCAACACTCTCCCACACACCACACACAACCCACTCATAATCTTTAGACCACCCAATTTATCTGGTGTACTACGAAGAATCGTGTTAAGTATTAAGTACTAAATTATCTAAATAGGGAAAAAAAAAAAAAGCCATTCTGGCACTTTGTCAGCTGGAGTTGCCATAGGATTTGCAGGTATACAACTGCTAGGATGCCCCAATATAATAGGTGCATGAAATTGTAGAAAACAAAACCATCTAAAAATATATATATTTCTAAATGCTCCCAACCTACCAAATCTTTGAGTGACAGACACCTTCAAAGATAGGCAGGCATCCAAGAGCAGTCCTTAAACCACCAATACCCCTGTAAACGAGCCGCTACGCACTCAGATGAACGGGCCTGACTGGAGCGCCCAAATCCATCCGAGTTGAAACGATTCTACTGTATTTTTTTCCCACGTCCAATATATGGCCGGGGTGCTTGTGGTCTAAGAACAGCATGTTGGGGTATATCTATCAACACAGGCCCACAAATTAGTAAATACCAAAATTTCACATATCTTCTAACAAATGGAGGGTTGCATGGACCTCAAAAGACAAACCCTTTTTTTTTACCATATCTGAATTTATGTGTCTCATCCTTGCACAAGGGCCATGCTAATCTTATCTGTATCATTCCAATTTTGAGGGATGTCCTGAAGAATGGAAAGATAAAAGAAGACACAAACCTAATTCACATTTCGTCAAAACATCAACGACAAGCAAAAACACAGCACCACACCAAGGACAACAATAACCTAATTCACCAGGGACACCGAGACCCACTCAAATTGTACAGCACTGAATGCATTTCACCATGCCAGGCATTTCTAATCTGAACTGACAGGCATGGGAGAAGTTTAATAAAACTCGAAAACCATAACCACCCCTTAAAAAAAAAAAAAAAACTCACCCCTATGCGCTGCTGATTCAATCCTCCACTAGGTTGTACCACTAGGTAACCATCGGTCGAGTTCTCCGAGAGCCACTCTGCAATAATATCCAACACAAGCGACAGGATAGAGTCAATCATGTCCACACTATAGCTTTTTTTTAGCTTTTTTTTAAACCACTTGTGCTCGGTCTACCTTTTTGTCTGACACTTCCCAGCTAGGCCTTGTAGACACTGCTCCAAGGTGGTGCTAAACTTGAAGACGTGGAAAAGAAAAATGACTTGAAGATACATGCAAGGAAATAAGCAATGTGAATACACTGAATATCAATAAACTAGATTGCAACGTCTCACAGAAGACCAGACATCATTGAGCTGAAATTGAAAGCAGAAATCAAAGTGAGATGCACACCCAGTAGGAGGGAGCAAAACACCAAAGTCTCTTAGTAAAGAAAGCCCTTCCGACACCTCCAATCATCAATGCAACGACAATGGAGCTCTACTACGGCACCTAGGACGCCGATCCTACTCTCTATCGCTCCTATCAATCAGGCTACATGCCAGCAACTAGTCCTTGTGCCATCAGCCCAATTCCGCTTGAAGACTCTGATCGAACAGCCTGCCTTCGTCAACACCAGGAACGTGCCTCGTTCACATCACCTCTCTCCCTCGTCCTCCGCCCCTTGTTCCACCAAGGACCTCCTGCACCTCCACCACCCCCCAAGCTATGGAGCGCTCAGCGCGGCTATGGCTGGCGCTCTCCCTTCTTCTTCCACACTGCCACCACAGCAGCTTCCCACAGACACAGTGCTCAGCTACTGCTCCAGCAGCGCCGTTGCATTAGCACAATGCCCAAATGTATGCTGGCTGGAGAGGCTGAGAAGGCTGCTCCCAGGCTGTGCCCTGTCCCAGTTGCCCTGTGCCTGGGCCCTTCCAGAATGTGCACGCAGGGCCATCACAGGCCCAGAATCCGCTACCAACTCTTGTACTGGCCTTACCAGCTAGTTGGAGATGCTGCAAGCATGGTGCAACTACCTGGGGCCTTTTTCTGCTCGCATTGGCCTGTTCTCAGGCCAAGCTGCATTTTCGCAGGCCCGCCTTCACTTACGGCAGGCAGGGCCTTTCCCTGTTTTGCCCGAACTCCTGAATCCTCACATTCCCTCTCCCTCAAGTCCGAAATCCCTCTGAGAACCCATTACTTCATCTGCTGCTTCCCTTTTGAAGCCGCTCATATTGAACTACAATCTGTAAGTGCGGTCGTTAGCAGCTCCTCGCACGTGAACCACTGATCCTCTTTGGGATCCAGGTGATGTCTGAAGGTCACCCTGTACTGCATCTGCGGATTTGGAGGTCTTCCTCTTCCAGCTCGCTTCGGTATTGGAATCACCTTATGCTCAACAGTCTGATCGACGTCCGCACAAGTGAGGAGGAACAGCAATACCATATGATGGCCCATCAGCATCTGAACCGACTATATCCAGTACTATTCATGGTCCAAAGTACTGAGGCATCAGTTTCCGGGAAATATCCAGTGCCTGTGCTTAACCCAAACTCTGGCCCCGACTTGAAACGTTGACTACCGTCGCTGTGTGTTCTCAGAACCTATCATAGCATTTTGAGCTTTCTGAATCTGTTCTATATTTTCTTGCAGCAGCGACTCATATCATATTCCATAGTCAATGCTACCGGAGCTTCTGTAGACTTAGATTCAGGCATTAGGAAGTCTAAAGGAGTCCTAGGTAACCACCCCAATGTAGCTGATTAGGCAACCGGCCAGTAGTAGAATGTACTGCATTACTGAGTGGGGATCTGGGCCGCCCGGGTGACCGGCAGGGGCCCGGGGGAGGTCCCGGGCGGCCTGGCTGGGCAGGGCACCCGGTTGGGGGCCGGGGCCCCCCAGATCACTCACCTGTCGGGGGATTTCGGACCCGTTTTCGGACGCCCTTTGTGTGTGTGTGTGTGTGTGTGTGTGTGTGTGTGTGTGTGTGTGTGAGAGAGAGAGAGAGAGAGAGAGAGAGAGAGAGAGATGTTCGAATCATACTTGCGGCGCATCTCATGCGCGGGGGCGCCGCACGCACATGCACGCACGCACAAGTGATGCGGCACATTAAAAAAGTAGAAAAATAAAACGTCCTAGTTGTGTCCAGCCTCTTTTCGGAAGGATCCATACAACATATTAGCTAGGACCCGACATCATGCCGAGATACACTTCAAACTTGTACTCTGTGAGGGTGGGCAGAGAATATATAGTCTGGATTCGAATTCAGGTCTGTGCATCTCGGTTATGGGTCAC